CATTTGGGAATTTGGGATATGATTCAGGACCAAACCCGTTGCCTTCTCAACATCCAACCCGCAATTGTTCCATAGCTTCATAGTGCTGGTGCGTGCCTTCGTTGCAACCAGATGTGGCTGCTGCCGCTTCTTGTTTTTGCTTCCAGCTGTGCTGTTACTGCCACCCCCTGTTCCAGGTGCGGTTGGTTGGTTGCTAGGTCTTGGTGCTGTCCCTCCTCCTTGTAGAGCTGACAAGTTGAGGTTGTTGTCCTCCGCAAGATCTACTTCCATAGCAGCCGCTCTGGCATCCATGGTTTTCTCTTGCTTCTCAGTCTGGCCATTGCCCTGATAGCCCTTGATGTTCTGAACAGAGTTATCCTGCATCATAATTCTCTAATTCTCTAATCAAAGATAATCAAACTCAAACGATGAAATAGCAACAAGACTAAGCACACCCAAAGCGTGGTAAGGAAACTCAGCATGGCAGTGGCAGTGTGTGTGTGTGTGACTTTAAGTATATATTGAATGCAGTGCCTAATGCCCTACTGCTGCCTAGTGCCTAGTAGGAAGAAGCAGTAAGCCAGGGCTAGGCCAGGCCGGCCCAAAAAAGGAAACAAATAGTGTCCTTGTAGTTGGTCTTGACCAGAAGGTCTTTCTTCTGGACATAGATCCGATCCACCTGACTGCCAGACACTTCAAAATTACCTATTATTTGTTGTAGTCATAGAGTCGTACTTACCCCCTTCTTGCCCCTTTTGACCTTCCTTGGAATTTGGAAATTGAATTTGGACATTGTTGTTGCAGTCATCGAATCAAACCAAGCCACAAGTCCAATGGGATTATTATGCTCATCATTGGCTTGTACTTTGTCCTTCTTGATGGCCGGGTCCCCCAATTCTTTGTGCCACTTTGCTTTAGCGGCTTTGACTGTCAGTCCTGGGATTTCAGTCCCGGGTTTGGCACCTATGCAAAAACCTGCAAAGCTTGGGAACGGAGACGGAGACGAGACTTGTCCAAAAAAAGGAGTAGACTCGACTCAGAGTAGACTTAAGACTTAGACCTAGACCTGAAGCTGACCTGGAGTCTTGATGTTCGGGCACCGGAATCCAACACCAAGGCTCTTCTGTATGCCGGACACTTGTTGCCGGTGAACCAAGTCACATAGTCCTCCAAACAAAGGGCCTCACCATGATCCTGGACTTCATTTCTGTAGCCTGTCTGAGAAACACGTTGAATTGTCTGGAAATCGTAGGGAGGCCGTCTCCGACCTTTGCCAGGCGGAGGACACCTAAGCAAAGGCTGAATTGATCATTTGATCATTCACTGCACCTGTACCTGTACCAGGGCCTGTCAGCCTGGTACTGTGACTGAAACCTTGAAATTAAAGCCCTTCAAGACTTGATTCAAGACTTCAAGCCTTCAAAGACCTTTCCCTTACTTACCTACAATTGATGTTGAGTAGGGTAGTAATAGACTGGGTAATGGTGGGTAAAGTCTATCGGCTGGGGGCCGGGCGGGGGGTTGTTTAAGTCAACTAAGTCAGCGTCAACCCAGTCAACAGTCAATTGAATCTGTAATGAGTCCGGGTCCGGGTCCGAGTCCAGATTGAAAAACAAAACTCAAAACTGTTTTTTTGGATCTATGGCTATGTTACTTCTTGCAAAAGTCACTGAGAATCTGGATGAAGGCCTCATGCTCATTGGCCTCCATCAACAGCAGGTCTTCCTTTAGGGTTGACCTTGGTTTGCGTTTTTTGGAGTCCGCATCCTCTTCTTCCTCTCCCAGCTCCGGCCCCTTCCCCGTCATGGCTGACGCCCCTTGGGTCAGCAAAGCTTCCCGATCAACGTTGTGCTGATGACACAGCTGGCTTGGCCTCAGAAGGAATGTCTATGGGAACTCTGTGGGAAGGTGGAAGAAGGAGAGGCTAGACTAGAATCGGGAAGTAAGTATTACAGTCAGTAACTAGAAAGCGAAAGCTGCACTTAAACTTGGAGGAATGCAATTAAACACGTTCCTGTGCCTGTGACTCTGAACTCTGTACTACCCCCTGTTCCTGATTCCTGATTTCTGAAAACTTTGAACAATTGACTGGCAATGGGAATTGTCGCAAACAAGTAAGGGTTTGACCTATTCGCGCACTTGTTGCATAGTCTTGAGCATATCTCACAGGGAACCGTTGTGGTCGGCACAGTAGTCATAGTCATCGGGTCCCAGAAAGATGGCAGTTCCGTTGGAATAGGAACGTCTGCTGGAAGGCCGGCTGAAG